CCACTTGAGCCACAGCACCACTTCCAGCTTTTTTCTGCTTATGTGGTGCTGAGGAATCAAACCCAGGGCCTCATGCATGCAAGGCAAACACTCTACCACTAAGCCAACTTTCCAGCCCCTTTTTTTCTTTTTTTAACCAGCCAATATACTTGGTTTTTTTCTTTCAGTCCTGGGGCTTGAACTCAAGGCCTGAGCTCTGTCCCTGAGCGCCTCTGAGCTCAAGGCTAGCATTCTACCACTTGAGCTACAGCACCACTTCCAGCTTTTTCTGCTTATGTGGTACTGAGGAATTGAATCCAGGGCTTTGTGCATGCTATGCAAGCACTCTACCACTAAGCCACATTCCAAGCTCATACTTTTACTTTTTTATTTTTCTTTTGGTTGGTCATGGGGCTTAAACTCTGGGCTTGGGCACTATCCCTGGGCTCTTCAGCTCAAGGAGAGCACTATACCACTTGAGCCACAGCGCTACTTCCAGTTGTCTAGTGGTTTATTGGAGGTAAAAGCCTCACGGACTTTCATGCCCGGGCTGACTTTGAACTGCAATCCTCAGATCTTAGCCTCCTGGGTAGCTAGGATTACAGGCGTGAGCCACCAGCACCTGGCTTTCATACTTTTTTAAAAACATAAACTTTTTTTTTGATTTGTCAGTCATAGGGCTTGAACTCGGCCTGGGCATAGTCCCTGAGTGCTTCAGCTCAAGGCTAGCACTCTACCACTTGAGCCACAGTGCCACTTCTGGTTTTCTGGTAGTTTTGGAGCTAAGAGTCTCATGGACTTTCCTGCCGGGACTGGCTTTGAACCGTGATCCTCAGACCTCAGCCTCCTGAGTAGCTAGGATTACAGGGGTGAGCCACTAGCGCTCTGCTTAAACATAAACTTTTTCTCAATTTCTTAGTAAATGAAGAACTATTTAAAGTTCTATTTTAAGTTCAAAATAGAGATTCAGGTTGGATAATGGAAATGTCAAGAACTGGGGACATAATTCACTGGTACAACATTTGCCTATTTTGCACGAGGGGCTGGGTTCCACTTCTAGCCCCATAAGGAAAAACAGCACAAGTTCTTGTCTGATAATGACAATGTTATTTAACAAGAGGAACCTGATAAACACAGGTAAACATGTCCATACATTAAAGTCTTCATCATGGTACAACCCTCCAATATAGGCATTCACTGGAATTCAAGTCCTTCACATTTAGTAATATCATAAGTAAACCTGCTGATAATTAAGCAAAATTACAAAATGAAAAAAGGTCACCTAATCAAAAGTCACAACAAGAAAGGAACCCTAGAAATGCAGGTCAAGGCAAGAAGCTGTAGCTGGCCAGATATCATACTTTTTGCCTGATTTTCAAGTAGGAATTTGCTATAATGAAGAAAAGAAGCAACAGGTATTACCCATCAGTGCCCAGCTGTGTGTGTGTGTGTGTGTGTATGTGTTTTGTCAGTCATGGGGCTTGAACTCTGGACCTGGGTGCTGTCCTGAGCTCTTCAGCTCAAGGTGAAAGTTCTACCACTTGAGCCATGGCACCACTTCTGGTTTTCTGGGCTAGCTATGAACTATGATCCTCAGATCTCAGCCTCCTGAGTAGCTAGGATTATAGGCATGAGCCACCAGCACCTGGCCATTCTGCTTGTTTTCTCTCACATGCAGACACTAGATCTAAAATACACTGGGACAATATAAATTATACAGGACTGTAGGCATTCACATACAGTGAGATCAAAGGAGGATATTTTTAGGGGAGGAACACAAGTGCAATGCCTGTGGGCATTTGGTTATATAAAATAATATTTATCAAAATGAACTAAAGCAAAAATCTCAATAAGAACATAGTTACTTCATTTTAAGAAGTGCTTTCAAAATTTACCCACCTAGCTTCTTTTCAGGAAAAAACTGTACAATTTTTTTTCTTACTTAACTTTTGGAGATGAAAATGGAAACTCAAACCCAAAGCCTATAGTATATAAGATATTCTCTCTTCAGCACCAGGCAAAGTGCTATTACCCTCTTATATGCCATTCTATTTCAGCAGGTGATTTAGCTGGTCCTGTAGATCTGATGACTGTCCAACACTAGAAATCAGAATAGAGAAAGTGTTTATCTGAAATGAGCAACAAACATTTCTTTGTACAATCTATTTATCCATTAATGCATAAATATAGTCACAGATAAATAATGATTTCTATCAGACCCATTTTGTATCTAGAAGTATTTAAACTAAGAATTGGGGATAACAGCACATGCCTGCAGTCCCAGCTACTTGGCAAGCTCTAAGGTAGGAGGATCACTTGAGGCCAGCCTGGGCAACACAGTAAGACCTCATCTTAAAGTAGAGGAAAAAAGCCTTTACTACAAACAAAGGTTTTTCAAAGCTAATTGGTAATGTAAGTAATACAGCAAGGGAAAAGTGTAATCTATCTCTTAAAAAGTGGATTTATACCCCACAACCGACCAAAAAAGAAAAGAGGAAAAAGTGGATTTATGCCAGGTGCTGGTGGCTCACACCTGTAATCCTAGCTACTCAGGAGGCTGAGATCTGATCGGGGTTCAAAGCCAGCTTGGGCAGGAAGGTCAATGAGACTCATCTCTAATTAAATACCAGAAAAGCGGAAGTGGTGCTGTGGCTCAAGTGGTAGCACTAGCCTTGAGCTGAAGAGCTCAGGGACAGGGCCCAGGCCCAGAGTTCAAGAACCACGACCCACCAAAAAAAAAAAAGTGGATTTATGACTTCTAGCACTTTTACTTTATTTAAAAAATATAAGGGATGTATAAGGTTTTCTATTCCTTAAGGTTGGCCCGTTCATCCTGTAACACTTAGAAACCTTACTGGCAGCAAATCAGCTTACTGTATGCCTTTGAAATACAATATGTTCTTTAAATCCTATGAGATGATAATGTAAAATGGTGTGGGTTGATAAGAGTTCTGCACTGATCCTGGTGCAGCGTGCAATTTCCCTCAGGCTGCTTCAGTTGAGTCCCACAACCCTACCTTTGGGGGTTACTTACTTCTTCTGAATAGCTTCTTGCCTAAGTCCAAAAAGGAAAGAGAAAAACATACATAAGAAACCCAGTGCTCTCGGCTCTCTCTCCACTCTCTCCGCTCTTTCCTAGCTCTTTTCTCTCTCTTTCCCAGCTCTCCCTGCTCTCTTTCCCAGGCCTTTCCCCGCCGTGTGGAGGGCCAAGATGGCCTGGTGCCAGCCGGAACAATGAATAAACCTACCCCTTACCTGAAAAAAAAAAAAAAAAGAAAGAAAGAAACCCAGTGAACCAGCATACGTTACTTCTGGCTTGTCACATTCTACATTTCTGTCCTAGGATTGCGCTATTGAGTCTAGCTGAGTGCAGAGCTGCTAAAAAGATGGCTTCTGAACTTGCAGAGGCAATAAACTCCATGCAAGGCTTCAATTTAGTGTAAGCACAGGGGAATGTGGCTTAGTGGTAGCATACTTGCCTAGTATGCATGAAGCCCTGGGTTCGATTCCTCAGTACCACAAAAAGAGAAAAGGCTGGAAGTGGTGCTGTGGCTCAAGTGGTAGAATGCTAGCCTTGAGCAAAAGGAGCTCAGGGACAGTGCCCAGGCCTTGAGTTCAAGCCCCAGGACTGGACAAAAAAAAAAAAAAATCAATCAAGACTTAAATTCCCAATCATACACTTGCACTATAAAATAAATTATAAGTATATAACCTTAACTACATAACATATTTTAAAATAAAACAAAAGCAAATTAACATTTTTTTCAAAATTAAATGAAAAAAATTAAAAATTATATTCACAATTTTAACAAAGCCATCTCTATAGTTCCAAATCTCCTTATGGTTTACATGTGGCTAGTGCTGTGCTACACAGAAAAATGTAAAAATGGGTTACCACCACCACTAAGGCCCAGACAGCTGGCAAGTACTAAGTAAGTACCTCCAGATGCCAATCACAAGATAGCAGGGCAAGGGCTTTCAGACTAACACAGAGAGGGTCACAAAAGATGGACCCTGCCTCTGATCTGATCTGCAACCCCAACTTCTGGGGTAGGAGGCATACATCCCCAGGCCTACCTTTGCTCCCACCCCTGTCTCCCAAGGACCCCTATGGAAAATGTGGGAAGCATGAAAGTAATGCACAAGGGCTGGGGACAATGACTTTGCGACAAGCCCATTGCTGGAGAGGGCATACTCACTGGTACTGAAGATGTGTGGTTATAATTGCCATCTTCCTTAAACTCTGCACAAGACAGAAACACAACATTCCACTCCCCTGTAGCCATACAAAGTATGGTTATAACCCCCAAATCTTTTAAAATAAAAATAGTTTCTCACATCTTCTGAGTGGAGGATGGCATCTTCCTGTAACACCATGTTTCGGGCTGCCTGACCTAGCAGCTGAAAGATAAAAATCAGATGGTGAAGATCATGATTCCCGAACTGCAATCTTGTCTCTGCAGCCATTCTATCACTACCCTCCCTGCTCCAGACAACCTTACACACACTCAAATATAATGGAGGCTGATTCTTCATTAGTTCAGGTAAAGAATGTCACTGGCACTATGGCAGTTTTGGCATGGGCCTACTTGGGTCCATGACCTGAGTAATCAAGGGCTCCTAACTGCTGCAGCCTGGGCATGATTTCCTCATTCAGTACTGAGAGGAGTCATTCTGATTCTTCAAAGGCAGATTGGAGACGGTTCAAGGGAAGTGAGAGCACAGAAGTTGGCAGTGGACTGGAAAGTACAGAAGGAAAATAGCTATTTAGAAATAAAATAAGCCAGGTGCCGGTGGCTCATACCTGTAATCCTAGCTACTCAGGAGGCTGAGATCTGAGAATTGTGGTTCAAAGCCAGCCCAGGCAGGAAAGTCTGTGAGACTCTTATTTCCAATTAACCACCAGAAAACTGGAAGTGGTACTGTGGCTCAAGTGGTAGGGTGCTCTCCTTGAACTGAAGAGTTCAGGGACAGTGCTCAGGCCCAGAGTTCAGGCCCCAGGACCGGACCCCCCAAAAAAAACCAACCTGGGTTCCATCCCAGCATCACAGAGGCAGTGGTGGGGAGAGAAAGAAACAAAGAAAAGAGAGAGGAGAGAGAAAAGGAAGAGAGGGAGGGAGGGAAAGAAAAAAAACAATAGAAGGAAAAAGGCATAGAAAGATGAAGATAGCCAAATGGGGCTAGGGAAGAGAAAAGGAGATTTCCAGGAATTCCAACCGAGAAAAAAGCAGATGTTGAAGTCAAAAAGGTGGCCTGAGGTCAAGGCAAGGCAAGGCAAGCTGAGATTAGGTGAAGTTCCTGGCCTCTGGCTGCACTCTGCACCAGACTTACCTTAAATATAGCCTTATCAAGGATGTGACGTGCAAGTGACCAATCCAAGACTTACCTTAAATCTAGCCTTATCAAGCTTGAGACGTGCGTGCTACCAATCTCTCCCTGTTCCCCTGAGCTAGAAGATTCCATGAAAAGGAACAACTTCAAGAGTTAACCAGGAACATCAGTATCATGGACTTTCCAAGGTTCCTTCCCCCAGGCAGCTATTTTTCCATTAAAGTTTTAAAATTAGTAAAACTTTATGTACTTCTTTTTATTTTTGGCCAGTCCTAGGGCTTGAACTCAGGGCCTGGGCACTGTGTCTGAGCTTCTTTTCCTGAAGGCTAGCACTCTACCACATAAGTCATAGTACTATTTCCATCTTTTTCTGTTTATGTGGTACTGAGGAATCAAACCCAGGGCTTCATGCATGCTAGGTAATCACTCTACCACTAAGCCACCTTTCCAGCCCCTGTACTTCTAGAGACCCTCCATGGGCTGAGAACGTGGTTTAATGGTAGAATACTTGCCTAGCATGCATTAAGCCCTGGGTTCGATACCTCAATAACTCATACACAGAAAAAGCCAGAAGTAGCTCTGTGGCTCAAGTAGTAGAGTGCTAACCTTGAGCAAAAGAGGCTTAGGGACAGTGCCCAGGCCCAGAGTTCAAGCCCCAGGACTGACTGGCCAAAAAAAAAGGCCCTCCACCTTGCCCCTTCTTCTCCCAGTTCTCTATCACTCATACGTAGTGATTTTTACTCATTTTTGGTTTGTCTTGCCCTTGCTTTACTTATTTATTTTGCTGGCCTAATTATGAGTCCTTTTATTATTTTTTCTTTTTAATTTTTAATATAATTTTGTTGTTATTATTAAGGGATTTTACAGGAGTGTTACCATTCTATAAGTTAGGTATTGGTACATTTTTATTTACATAATATTTATATAATTTATATAATATTTATTTTTTTTGGGGGGGTCCGGTTGTGGGGCCTGAACTCTGGGCCTGGGCACTGTCCCTCAGCTCTTCAGCTCAAGGCTAGCGCTCTACCACTTGAGCCACAGCGCCACTTCCGGCTTTTTTCTTATGTGGTGCTGAGGAATGGAACCCAGGGCCTCGAGCATGCAAGGCAAGTGCTCTACCACTGAGCTACCTTCCCAGCCCTATTTTGTTTATTTTTTTGACCGTCATGGGGCCTGAACTCTCAGCCTGGGCACTGTCCCTCAGCTCTTCTGCTTACTTGAGCCACACCACTTACAGCTTTTTTCTGCTTATGTGGTGCTGAGGAATCAAACCCAGGACCTCATGAATGCAAGGCAGACACTCTACCACTAAGCCCCAGCCCATGAGTACATTTTTTATATAGTTATTTATTTTGTCAGTCGTGGGTCTTGAACTCTGTCCCTGGTCGCTATCTCTCAGCTCTTTAGCTCCAGGTGAGCACTCTACCCCTTTGAGCCACAGTGCCACTTCCAGTTTTCTGGTAGTTAGTTGGAGATAAGTCTTACAGACTTTCCTACTTGCACTGATTCTGAACCTCGATCCTCAGATCTCAGGAACCTGAGTGGCTAGGCATGAGCCACCAGTGCCAGGCAAGTATATTTCTTTTGTTCCCCCCTAGCTTCCCTCTTCCATCCCAACCCACAAGTTACAAAGGTCATGTTCTACATAGTCTATATTGAATAGCATGGTTGCATTTGTTAACCCTTTCTCCCTATCTTTCTGTGCTCCTGAGCTTCTTTTTAAAACCGTAGATACAGTTAGCAGCTGATGGCTCACAACTGTACTCTTAGTTGCTCAGGAGGCTGAGATCTGAGGATTGTGGTTCCAAAGCAGAACAGGAAAGTCTGTGAGGCAATTAACCACCATAAAACCAGTAGTGGAGGGGCTGGGAAGATGACTTAGGGGTAGTGTTTGCCTTGTATGCATGAGGCCCAGGGTTCTATTCCTTAGCACCACATAAACAGAAAAAGCCAGAAGGGGCGCTGTGGCTCAAGTGGTAGAGCTCTAGCTTTGAGCTGAAGAGCTGAGAGACAGCGCCCAGGCCCAGAGTTCAGGCCCCACAACCTACAAACAAAAAAACAAACAAACAAAAAAAAACCCCACAAAACAATAGTGGAGATGTTGCTCAAAATGGTAGAGCACTAGCCTTGAGCAAAAAGAGCTCAAGGACAGTACCCAGGCCCTGAGTTCAAGCCCTACGACTGATTTTAAAAAAAAAATTGTCAGGCGCTAGTAGCTCACGCCTATAATGGTAGCTACTCAGGAGGCTGAGTTCTGAAGGTCGCAGTTCAAAGCCAGCCCGTGCAGGAAAGTCCTTTATGTCCAGTTAACCACCAGAAAACGGGAAGTGGCACTGTGGCTCAAGTGGTAGAGCGCTAGCCTTGAGCTGAAGAGCTGAGGGGCAGCCAGAGAAAAAAATAAATAAAAATAATAATAAATAAAAATACAAACAAAATCAGCCCGGGCAGGAAAATCCTTATCTCAAATTAACCACCTCCATACAGGAAGTGGAGCTGGGGCTCAAATTGGTAGAGCAATAGCCTTGAGCACAAAAAGCTCAGGGTCAGTGCCTGGGCCCTGTCACAAAAAACAAGGAAACCTGTTGGGGATGTGAATTCTTGGGGGGAAGGGTGCAGGGAGTGGATGGTGCAGGGGTAGAACCGTTGTAGTGTCTGGAGATGCCTCCCCCATAAACCTGATGTAAGCACCCCCCAAAATAACACCCCAAAAACAAATAAGGAATTGTTTAGAAGTCCGATTCCTACCCTATCGCCAATCCTAACCAATGACTACATTCCCCAGAACGCACCACGCGCGAAGCACCGCTCCAGGCCTACACTCCCCAGAATGCAACGCGCCCCGTTCCCACCGCCGAAAGACCGCAAAGACTAGGCCGAGCGAGGCCACTTCCCGCTCACCTCAGAGCTCCGGGAACCCTTCAGCACCTGCTTGGTGAGCGCGATCACGTCCGTACCACAGGTATTCACCTTCTCCGTGAGAAGCCCCTTCACTGACTGACCAAAGCGGGCTTGCGAATCCTGCGCTCCAGTCGCCATCGTCTCACCTACCAAATGCCTCCGCACCGACGACGGCGCATCGCTAGGGCCAAAAGAGATGCAAAGCAAAACGCTCCGAGATAGCGTCTTTTTTGTGACCCAGGGGAAAAGAATGGGTGCAAGCGCCGAGCAAAAGTTACTAAATTCATTTAAAATGCTCAGTTGACATCCTGAGGAAGACAAGAAAAACGTTCCTAGATGGGAAAAGGATAGTTTCAGTATGTGTACAGCATAAAATAAGAAGGGCTACCTTACATTCCCCTTTGGATTATTTAGCAAATGTGTGGCTGCAAATTCTCAACCTCTCGTCTTACACTGATCAGTAAAACAAGTCATTTCAGGGTCTGGAGGTACAAACTCAGTGGTAGAGCCCTTGCTACCATGGTTGGAGCCCTGGGTTAGGTCCCCAGTACTGTAGTAATAGTGTTATAGTCTACAGAGCGTTCTGAGGATGACCTAAGATCGTTCAGTTCGATTTTTACAAGCGTGAAATAAATACCACGTTAGGAAAGTGGAGGGGAAAGAAGGTACAGCCCCGACTTGATTTCAACAAGCTAGGACTTCCTGCCGGTATGAAGGTTGTGTAAAGACCTGGGTTCACTGGGCTGGGAATGTGGTTTAGTGGTAGAGTGCTTGCCTAGCATGGATGAAGCCCTGGGCTCAATTCCTCAGTACCACATAAACAAAAAGCTCCCAGTGGCGCTGTGGTTCAAGTGGTAGAGTACTTGCCTTGAGAAAAAAGCTTAGTGACAGTGCTCAGGCCCTGAGTTCAAGTCCCAGGACTGGCAAAAAAAAAAAAAAGCCACCAAACCAGAGGAGGGGGGAGGCCTCAAGAATGGGGTTTCAAGGGGTCTAGGCAGTCTGATCATATCTTTGGTGACTTGCCTGACATCTGTATGCACCTGGCACAACAGGGTGGAGGTCAATCCTTCATGGTCTATCTTTGGATACATAGAATAGGCCAAGGGGACAGAGGCAAGTCCTTCACCAGACACTTTGCTAGGCTGGAGATAGAAAAGAAATGAGATACAGTCATTATCTCTGTCAAGCTTGAAGACTGATGTTATAAAGATCAAGAACAACCTAACAGGAAAATGGCCAAGGAAACCAACAGATGATTCAAATAAAATAAGTACAGATGACCAATAAATGTGCAAAATTCTCAGCATCAATCATAACTTTTTTTTTTTTTT